ATTTGTAGCTTCAAATGATACCACGAACTCAACATCAACAGAATCACAATCGACTCAAGGTTTGGATTGAGATTGCTACAACGAAATATTCCACAAGTCATATTATTTTTATTTTCTGTAAACATTTAAACATTTTTATACTTATAAAAATGAAATTATTATGTTTTAGTGAAATATTTGTTTAAATCTTATTATTTTGCAATAAGTGAACTATTTTTTTTATTTAGATTTGTATAAATAATTTTATTTTAATATATATAGTAATTAAAAATGTGACAATTTTTAGTTTTGCCACTATATTGGTGACATTATATATGGTGACGTTATGCATGATCATCATTCATAATATTATTAGGTAACGATATATTATGTCACTAAAAATGTGACAATATCTCTTTTGTCACATATAAGTTGATTTTAATGCATTATTTGTGACAATATAAATTATCAATAATGAAATCTTATTTAATTTAGTGATGTAACCAACTGTCATAGAATATAAATGATAAAGTGAAGTTATGCTTAAATGTCATTCATAATATTATTAGGTAACATTTATATTATGTCACTAAAAATTTGACAATATCTCTTTCGTCACATATAGGTTGAGATATAAATCATCAATAACAAAATTTTACATAATTTAGTGACATAATTAGTTGTCATTGAATATTAATCATATAGCGACGTTAAATATAAATGTCATCCATGCAACTATTAGGTGACGATATACTACGTCACTAACAATGTGACAATTTTCTTTTCGTCACGTATACAATGAAATTATTGTGTTATTGGTGACGTTATAATTTATTAATGATGAAAATGTATATCATTTTGTGACAAAAGTAATTGTCACTAAAGGCAAATTAAACTGTGACGTTATCCATTATCGTCACTATATATTTAACAATACATGACGATAACACATACATCATCACTTTTGACATTTAGTGACACACCTAGGGTGACGATCGCGGTGACATTGACTTTTACGTCACAAAATACATCTAGTGACATAAATTGAAGTTTTAGTGACAATAACCTAGATACCACTAATAAGAAAAATTGTTGTAGTGTTTCCATTATATCTTATTTTACATCATACAATTTTCTTATTCTAAACTACCTTTGTATCATTCTACTTTATATCACACATCCCTTAATATCATTTTCATACTTAAACTTATATTATTTCCTTCTTCCACCCTACACCATCGTTCTAAGATGTTGCTTACTTGGTTACGATCGGAATACTCTAAACATTCTTGGTAATCAAGCAACCAAGAGTATAGGGGTGCTTATCGAGCGAGTCGATCGTGAGTAGGGCAATGCTTGACTCGTGCTCGTTAAAAAATTTTGCTTATCGACTTGACTCATTGCTTGTTAAGTTCATTAAAAATGTCTCGACTCGTGCTCGTTAAACTCACTAGAAATTTTACCTTGTTTTTTAACTATAAGTAAAATTTAATAATATTATATGGAACTTAATATAAACATAAAGTAACAAGTTTTACCAAAAATTATCAAAAGAGTGTATGAAGCAATTCCAAAGTATGAATTCCAAACTAATAATCTACAAATACACCTAGCTAACATATTAAAATCAAAGTAACAATCCACAAATTAATCAAACTAAAATATTAAAACTAACATAACAATCCACAAATACATCAAACTAGCATATTAAAAATATTCTTGAAAAAGAAGAAGTTCAACAATGTATAATCAATTCTAAAAATAAGGAAATCAACAACTCCTCACTCCATTAATTGTTGCTTGCAATCACCAAACTACAAAATTGAGAAAATAATTTTCTTTGCTTGATCAACATGATTATCTTGTCAATAAAAAAATTATAATATCTTATAATAAGAAACTAAAATAAAATATTCTTACTTTGTCAAGAATAATATAGAACTAAATTAATTAATATGCTTAATCTTAAATAGCCTTATATTTTTTTTCTCTTCACTCCATGGAGGTATCGAAACCAATCTCCACTACAAATCAACATTTGCAAGGTATCTGGAGATAGTGAAACTCTATAAGAATCAATAACGTGATTCCTTGCACTAAATGTAGCCTCGGAAGCTACAATTATTATCGAAATTGCTAAAGCATCAATAGTCAACCTTACAAAATACGAAACTTCAAAGATTGATCCTTCCACCACCTTATAGGTTTAAAGTGGTCACTTTATCAATTATACATCTGTCCTCAAGATACAAATCAACTTCATTCTTTTAAAAATTAGCCACAACTTCATTGTTGGCCACTTTATTTATTAGATCAAATAATCCATGAGTGTTTTTTCCTCTACTAAGATGTGAAGTATTTTCAATTCCATTTTCTCCATTTTTTTTCCATTGTGGAAGGATAATACAAACTAATATGCTCATTATAAAGTTCATACAAAGTTTCCTGAACTTTATGAATGTTATCTTGAACAACTTTTAAAGGAAACATATCCAAGAAAGTCACTTCAATTCTTTTTATTTTCAAACGAGGATCCAATACAGAACCCATAGCCATAAGTAGATTACATTCACCCCAATACTTATCAAATCTTTCTTTCATATTCTTAACCATACCACTAACACATTCATCAGGAGAATTCAATTTATCATCCAACAACGCTTTAATCTTATAAACTTCACCAAAGAACAAATTAGAGGTTGGATATTCCAGTCCTGAGATAATATTGGTAGCATTAGAAAGCACAAATAAAATATCAAGCAATTTCTTAATTTTTTCCCCAATCACTACTACTAGGACAACAAACATAATCTTTATCCTTCAAAGCAAGTCTAGAAAATACCTCTTTAAATTTGATTGAGCATGCTAGCATGTCATAAGTTGAGTTCCACATAGTCTTGCATTCAAGAACCAACCTTCTATACTTTATGTTGAATTATCCAATAAGTTCGGTAAACTTTTCATGATTATTTTCACTTTCTTCAGCCCATATTTAAAAATAGCGTTCAAAATGTGAGCACACCAATGAACATGAAACAACTTTCCACCACAAATCAATCTCTTAGTCAATCAAAACGTATCCTTCAATCACATTGTCCATTGAAATTGAGAAAACCTAGCAAAAAAGAATAAATATAATAAGTGAATAAAATTTTATATAATATTAGAAAAAGAATGCAAACATAACTTAAAAGATAAAACAACTTACATTATTCTCAATATCTCACTCCTTTAAATATTTGAATATGCAATTGGTAATGTCTTTACCTTTTAGAGGAGGAGGTATGTGAACAAATCTCAATATTCGCTTTTGAAGTTTCCAATCACGATCAACAAAGTGAGAGGTAAGAACCATATACTCAATCTTTTGAGGACTTGAACACCATAGTGGTCAATGAAATTCTATCTATATTCTTTAACAACTCTTTTAACTTTCTCCTCTCAATCTCTTTGAAAACATCACTTCTTATAGTATGATGAGACACACTTTCCATTGTGAGAATGGCTTTTCATGCATGACACTCCAATGAACAATGTGTTTTCTAAACTTTAAAACATCAAACTTGCCTTCATGCAAAACACTAACAAAAGAAGAATTGGGTGATCCAACACTTGAATCCGAATATGAAGAAGCCCCCTGATACAAATAAGCCCTCGTTTTCTAACTATAGAATCATGAGTTGCCTCTAAATTATTATTAACCTTCCTATTTAGGGATATTATCCTTTACTTGAGTTTGAGCGTTGAGATGTATTAGCTAACACAAAGATGATTTTACCTATCAACTAAATTATCCTTTAAAGGGCTACCTTAATTTTGTGAATGAAACCATCGAGATGCCTTTGCTATTAAACAAAATCAAGAAATGAACTTCATATATTCTATAAGTCTTAGATCAAGCCACTTTTTTAACAATCTTTGGATCAAGAGGAGACAATTGTTGTACTTTTGAAGATATCTCCTAGAGACATCCTTTGAAAACCATACCTCCGCCCACTATCCATCCAAAGTCTCGTACTCCCTAGATAGTGACAATCACATCGTTGAACCTTTGACAACCTCACATAATTCACTATATATAAACTTGACAATTATCGCCATCACAGGTTTAACACTAGCCACCTTATAACATAGGTATTTATATCTCGATGAAAGACTGAAGACATGATCCTTCTCTTTTTTCCAAAAATCATCTATACCATATGTCTTCTCCTCTACGTTATCTCTCTCACTCCCACACAGAAAGATATCAGCCAATGATCGTCTTTTCACTAGGTGCGACTCTTTCTTAAACTAGAAGGGTGATCTGTCAATGATTGACGAGATCAATTTATTCCCATCAACACATATAATAAATATATCAATATAAATTTTTAATAAATTTAAGAAAAAAATAAATATTTTGAATAAGCTAAATACTTTTTTTTTTAATTTGAAGTAACTTATTAATAATTTTCCCAAATTTAGGAGGTATGATCCCTCTAATATTCATTGTGTTCCACCTGAATCCAATGGGTAGGGCTATAAATGAGACTAGATAGATTATGAGTTACTCTAGTTCGACTCAGTCAAAGTTCGATACATACTCGACTCGAGTTCTTAACAAGTTGAATCGAGCTACTTGATACTCAACTCAAAAATTTTATTTTTAAATTAAATTATTAATAGTATTAACATTTATTTGTTGATATTTTTTGAAAATGAAGAATAAGGTTTTCATGTTATAGTTTGAGATTCAACTCCGTTAAGTTTAAATTTTTTTTATTTCAAGTATTTTCGAACTTTCTAAAACTTCATTTCATGATTTCGAGTTTAAATCGAGTTTAGGTCAAGTTCAAAAATTTTAGACTTACAAGTTTTTAAGTTAAATAAAAATATACTTTAAAATTTTTAACTCGACTCGTTTACGATCTAAGTACCTGCACACGACCTTTAATTAATGAAATATCCACCTCCTTATCGCCGCACGTCCATCGAACTCCACAAACCCTCGAGGCACCTGCATATCACCCCCCCCCCCCGCCCCTTTCACACTTCCACCTAGGGTTTTGTCTTTCCTAGATCTCCTACCCAAACACTTCCCTTTTCTCTTCTTTTACCTTAAAAAACAAGTCTCACTATATTCGCCGGCGCAGCAGAGAGGAAGAGAAAAAAGACCCGAAAATGGTTGCACCTGAAGCTCCTCTCTGCTACGTCGGCGTCTCTCGTCAATCTGCTGCTTTTCGTCTTATGAAGCAAATGGTACGTATGATTATATATTTATGAACGTATAATTTGCTCGTATATAGGCATATTTTGTGATTGTTTTAGTGCCCCGGTTAGGGATGGGAAGAAGGAGAAGGACTTGGGAAAGATAAGCAAGGGATCAAAGGTCACGTTAGAGTTAAAAACAAGCAGGATACGACTGGTTCGTTCTTAATTCTTTTATTTTATTTTATAATTATCAGTTTTTTATGGTCTGTTTGTCTGTCTGTTTCTTTGGTTTCTTGATTTGTTTATTTCCTTAATGTTGAAGTGCTTGCTTGAGAATTAGAATAGGATGAAAGGATGAACAATAGTTTTAAAATTGGAATTTTATTTAAATTTGAAATTCATGGATCAGGTATTGGATTAGATAAGCCTAATCCGTGGGCGTTCGATACAGCTCAGTTTGATAGTATTCTCAAAGGATTGAAAGTGGTGCGTAATTCATTCTTATTTATACTTTGATTGGCAATTACTGTGCTCAATTTGATTCAAAGCTCTTTTTTTTTTGTTCTCGTCTCTTTTTGATTTTTCAGAAGCAAGCAGTGCAAACCACTGTTGAAGGTATGGCTGATGCCAAATGAAAATTTCATCTCATATTTTTACTTAGAATGTTATTGATTGGGGAGTAATTTAGTTTTACTGAACAGCTGAAACGAGTGAAAATCAAGTAGAAACCAAGAGTGATGTGCCTAATGATACTGCAGAACAAGCAGCTAAGACTACCCGACCCCAGGGAAGGTTGGTGCCTTATTGTCATGTTTTTTAGTGGTAAGAGATTATTGCCAATTATTTAATTAATGCTGGATGTTATTTGTTCTCGTTTCTACTTTGTTTTGTTTTTAGATATAAGAAAAGAGAGCGAGGGAAGCTTGTGCATGCATACTCTTCAAAGGATCTTGAAGGAATTCTTGTAAGTTCTACAACTTCAGTATGTCTTATTGCCTTTGTCTTCTTCGAAGTTATTTAGTCTGTTAAAAGTTTTACTTGTTTGAAGCTGTGGCAATGATGTTGTTTTTATACTTTACTTTAGTATTTGTTGTCTAAAGTTCCTTTCAAGATGCAATATAATTATATCAGATCAAAATGTAATGTCAAATATTTGGCTTGAAATGTGTTCACTTGTCAATTATTATTCAAATTTGGTTTGTTAATAATGTCCAACTTAATCTCAAAAAGATTTTCCTGGTTAGAATACATGAAAGCTCAAGGGAAAAAATCATGAATATTTACATTTTATTGGGTTTGGTTGTGAGTTGAATTGTCAATATAATTGTATAATCCTTGATCAATCTGTTCTTTGTTTCATTTTAGCACAATAGACAGTTGCCATGCTACCTTCATCATCTAGTCACTCACCTTTCCAAACAAATTTAGATATCTCTGCATGAGCTAACACAAAGCATTGTAGAAACATAGTGATTAAGTAACAATCAGGCCTTATGTTTTGGTTAAATGCTGAAGCACCTTACAACATCATGTGTAAATTGAAATATTCATTTACATCAGTTTTTATGTTCTGTTTGATGGAATTATCAATTTTTATTTTTAGATAGTTCTTTTCCCCTTGCAATTAGTATTTGATTAGATGCATTTTCAACGTTTACTAGTATTTTAGGATTAAACAGTCACTTTATTTACTCATGTTTTGCAATAGGCCAAAAAGGCTGAAAAGTCATCGCCTCCAGATCCTGTAGTCATTGGTGAAATGGAGATCATAGAGCCAACTGAAACTAATGATTTTTCTGCTGAAGGTAATACAAGTAAATTGATGAAAAGAAATTTATACTCTAGTTCATACTGAAAACTTAATTGAATTCTGGCAGTAAGGTGTCATTTTTCTTTGCATTATATTGTTAAAAAATTGTTAACCTTTACGGTCTTTGCAGTTATATTGAAGGTAGAAAGCCAGATTTTTTCTGATTTCCCATCAGGTGTATATAATCTTGTACTGAAAAATTCAAGTCTATTCCTGGCAAAGAATATTCTTGACCTCTTTCGTGTTACTTGTTTGCTTATTGCTCTCTATAGCTGTCTTCCGTTGTTCATTTCTGAGAAAATTTAGCTCTTTGTCACAGGAAACAAAGTTGAAAGCGTTTCTCTGGATTGGTGGGGCTATAAATATGGATTTGTTACTGGAGGTTTTCTGGGAGAATCTACCAGAAAGAAATCAAAAAAAATTGGAGAGTCTAAAATCTCAACTGAGAGAACTGTTTTTTTTGAAGATGATCAAGAGAATCTCTACAAACTTGTGCAAGTATGTCTCTTTGCCTTTTTTATTATGAAAACTGTCCTGAAGTTATTTGTATGTTGAAGTGAAAAATTATAATTCCCTTTCCAATTTAACCTTCCATCTGAAGATGAAATTGTAGATATCTTGTGAACAAGTGGTGTTTTAATTGATTGTTCTTCTACATGCTTTAATGTTATGTGAATCTAGTAGCATATTGGAGACTGGGAGATTAAAGGAATGAACATACTGCTTTTATTCTAAAATCTTAGGATAAAGCCACAACTGGAAAACAAGGTTTGGGCATTAAGGATCGACCAAAGAAAGTAGCTGGAGTTCACTTTCAGGGGAAAAAGACATCATTTAGGGATAGTGATGGTGAGGATTCTGATGACATCGGTCCTCCAACAAAGCAAATGCGGGATAAGGCATTAGAAACAAAGAAAGCTGACGAACCTAAACTAAAGTTGAAAAAGCTGTGTAAACGGCTTCTTTGTCAGGTAATTGATCTAGAATGCAAGATGATTTAAATCGAGGTGCATGTTTTTCTCTAATTAATAGTCATCTGCCTACTTCAGGTACCTGGAAATTCATTAAAACTAAAACAACTGAAAGTTCTTATTGATGAGCAGTCATCTTCAGTATTTTCCAATTTATCTTCCAAGAAAGATGCAATTGCCTACTTGAAGCGAAAGGTGTGCTCATCTCTCCTCGGAACAGTTCTTTCCGATTTTATTAATATTTTGACCACTTTGCATTTGCTGGAACAAAAAGGTTTGTCTTTCATTGAGTTCAGTTTCGGATTTTTGACATTTCTTTGCTTTTTGCCCACAGCTTGAAGGTAGTAGCAAGTTTTCTGTGGAGGGAAAGCGAGTGAGTCTTGGATGTAGAAACGGCTAAGATAACTTCTGATACGATTGTGATATTCTTTTGGTGGCCACTATAAGCTGAGACTGAATTATTAGTGCCTTATTTATAAATTATGATGTCATTTTTGTAGGTAGTAGGTTTGTGTAAAAACAGGTTCCTCCAGTAAAGCCTGAAACTTTTTTGAACCCGGGATTTCAAGAGATAATAACAAGTACCTTAACCACCAAAGTTGCTTGGTACTTGAATCTTTGAATTTACAATGATAGAAAGTGCCAAATTCGGAAGAAGAAATGTAAAGGCATTCAATCCAAGCTCGCGATTACAAATAATGGTAAGAGCTAGATTATAACATGTAAGCTTGATTATGTTGTCTGCAAATTATGGTTGAAACTCTAAATCCATCTTCAGATTCTAAGCTTCCATTTGAGTTTTTAAAGTGGGGTGTCATATTAATTAGATTTTCATTAATCTATTCTTAAATATTAGTTACCATATTTAATTGTTTTTATTTATCATCATATTAAATTTAAATTATATTCTTAGTCGATTGGATTAGGTATCATAGAAGTTTTATAGGGATGCCTTCTCAATTCAATTTATTTCATTCACAACATTAAAATTCTAATTTCAGACTTTATTTATAAAACTAGGTGTTTCATCTTGATAGACTAACTAGTAGTTGATTATGATATGGATTTTGATTTATAGAAATTATGACCATGAAACTTTGATTTGTATTTAACTATACATGTGAAGTTTTTATTTTCATTTAAATATATATTTTTAAAAAAATAAAATAATTTATTTTTATATCAAATTATGATAATATAATTATAAAATGATGCTATGTTGATAATTGTAATTGACGAAAATTTGAATCAAATTAAAATTATATATTACATATATATAATTGTACAAAATTTATTTGAGCTTACAGTATTTTAGGACTTGTATCTCATTATCACTTTAGTACTTAAAATAGTTTTTTAAAATCAGTTTGATTCCTAAACTTTATTTTTCGTGAAGCATGTTATTTCATTTCATTTCATTTTTAAATTAAAAAAGGAAAAAGAAAACATGTGATGATCTAGAAATGTGTCATGACATATAATATATATTAAATTCAAGAAACTTTTGAATTATTTTTTAAAATCCAATGAATATCAGAAAATGTAAATTATTTAAAATCCAAAAATACTAAAACATTGTGGTTTTATTATATATATATATATATATATATATATATATATATATATATTATAATTTTATGATTTTTTTTTTGAAGTTTTTCAAATTTAATATATGTTACCTGTTATGTAGCATGTATTAGTTTTTTGCACTAGGTGTAGTAATTTGGAATAATTATTGTAATTTATTTGAATGGATTAAAATAAATAAAATTTTTGTATGTTATTTATTTACGTGTTGTGCAAATATAACACCCTTTCTTGAATCCGATCATCGGACTAGAATCGAAAATGTCACAATACAATTGTATTACACTAACAATTTCATGTAAAGAAAATCATTTTCTTCGGTCAAAGAATAATCATATTTATTCGATTATAAATATTTATGACAAAGTTTGTGAAACATTCTTGTATACTTTAAAACATGTTTAATTTTTAATAACACCATTAGCTGTAGTGAACCAAAACATGAATGTAAACAAATTAACCATGCAATTCAGTCTTTATCGATCATAGGTAATTACAAACAAATATTAGACTAATATAAAAGTTAAAAGACCTATAACAAAACATAAACGAGTCTATCACATATACATGCCACTAAGACAATCAAAATACATTAGGTAGGATGTCATTGCTGTGATAGCTCAATGAACCTTCCAAAAAAGTGATGTAACACCCAACTTACTCAACCCTCAAACTGCCTACGTGTGAAAAATCACACCCTTAGTACGAATAGACAGTTAAATAACAATTCAATACAATTTACAACATAAAATCAATATAGAACAATTAGGAAATTCAGGTTCAATTCAATCAATAACCTATCATTTCTTTATTAATATCTATCAGCTTTATAGCTTATCCAGCTGTATATAATCATTTCAATTTAATATGGCCCAAAGTGTCACAATGAGAAAACAAGGTATGTGAGTCAACAAGAAAAAAGCCTTAACAACCACAAGGCTTTGCACGACACAAAATGCCTTACGAATCAAATGACCCTAAGAGCATAATTACCTTGTGAGCATACAAGTCGTGTGCAAAGAAGCACTAAAATCACAACTGCTAGACTCATGGCATGCCAATTATACCTATAACTCTCAAGAAATATACTTGGCATTATATATATCATTATGACAAATATCATAAATATTCATCCATTATCATATAATCATAAAAAGGTAATTCATACACTATTATGAACATTAACCATTCATGTGCATGTAAGAACGCTTATCACAAGTCTTTCTGGTCAAACACACATATATTCAGAATGCATGAAATGCATTGACCTTGACTACACATTATAACTGAATTGTAGTAGGAATTCAAGCTTCAAACTTGTTTCTTCTCTTTTCCTTTCGAGATACCTTCAACTTATACTTGCTTGGGTGCTTCAAAATCATTAATTACATAACAAATACAATCAAATGCACAAATTAGAACACCTACTAACCATGCACATTTATCATAGAAAAATTGTAAAATTTCAGTGAATGTAAATTTGAAGTATACAAGCTTCCTACACTTCAAATTAACCTTTAATTTCATGATTCCACTAAAACCTTAATCTTTCTCTCCTAGAGTTTCAAAGACTAAATAAGGAGTCTTCATATTTCACCTCCATATCCAATAATTTTACCATCAAAATGAAGCTCAGGCGATGAAAAAAACTTGAATACTTCAATTTCATTCAGACTGTAAACCCCTAGTTAAAACCCTAAAATGCTAAATTGGTATAGGTGTACACACTTGTATTTTTACTTAAAACAACATTTACAAATGTAAAACACTAAAACAAGGTTGAATCTCAAAACCAAAAACATTTATTCAATACTGAAGTCATGTAGGATAATCTACACTTGAAAGTAATCATCAATCAAGAATGAAAAAGATATATAATCATTTAATTCTTCAAGGTCAAATCTTAATTCAAATTGATCCATAAACCCTAAATTTTCTTTCTTCAATTTCAAGAGCATAACTCAATCAATTCATGAAATTTAAGCATCAAATGAAAGAGAATTTAATGAGGAATAACCCTGATTTATCTTTATTTTCCTCTAAAACTAAAATTTTACCTTCTGTTTTGCAAGCACCTGAGGTAGAATTGAAGCAATTACTGGAGCATTTGAAATATGCCTTTTTGGGTGAAAATGAAACTTTGTATGTAATCATCTCAAGTAAATTATCCGAAGGAGAAGAGGAATCTTTGGTAGCAGTGTTGCGCTCTCACAAAGAATCCATAGGATGGACCATTGCCGACATTAAAGGATTAAGTCTCTTGCCTTGTATGCACAAGATCAAAGTTGAAGAAGGAGCAAAGCCATCACGAGAAGGATAACACTGATTAAATACACTGATGATGGAAGTAGTAAAGAAAGAAATTCAGAAACTCCTTGATGCTGATGTAATCTATCCGATATCGGATAATAATTGGGTAAGTTCGATTCATGTGGTTCCCAAGAAAACGGGAGTCACAGTGGTCGAAAATCAAGAAAGGGAGTTAGTGCCAACAAGAGTTCAAAATGGATGGTGAGTTTGTATTGATTACAAGAAGTTGAACTCTCTTACTCGAAAAGATCATTTTCCTCTTCCTTTTATAGATCAAATAATTGAAAGATTAGCTGGGAAAACTCATTATTATTGCCTTGATGGTTTTTTAGGTTTTTTTAAATCCAGTGGCGCTAGAGGATCAAGAAAAAATGACTTTTACTTGTCCCTTCGGTACATTTGTGTATAGACGAATGCCCTTTCGTCTTTGTAACGCACCGACCACCTTCCAAAGATGCATGTTAAGTATATTTTCCGACTATGTGGAGAAGGGCATCGAAGTCTTTATGGATGACTTCACGGTTTATGGTAATTCTTTTAATGAATGTCTTGATAATTTAACTAATGTGCTTAAAAGATGCTTAGAATATAACCTTGTTTTAAACTATGAAAAATGTTATTTTATGGTTGATAAAGGGTTAATTTTAGGTCATATTGTTTCCTCAAAAGGGATTGCGGTTGATAAAGCTAAAACAAATGTTATACGCTCACTTCCTTACCCCACAACTGTGAGGGAAATTTGTTCTTTTCTTGGCCATGTAGGATTTTACCGAGTTTATTGAGGACTTTTCGAAGATAACATAACCTTTATGCAATCTACTTCAAAAAGATTAAGACTTTGACTTTAATTCAAAATGCAAGTAGTCTTTCGATTCATTAAAGGAAAAGCTTATTTAAGCTCCAATTGTTCAGCCGCCATATTGGAATCATCCCTTTGAACTTATGTGTGACGCATCGGATACTAGCGTTGGAGCCGTTCTTGGCCAAAAAATATGGAAAGAGCCATATGTCATAGCTTATGCATCCCGAACTTTGGACTCGGCTAAGAAAAATTATTCGACTACGGAAAAATAACTTTTTGCTATAATTTTAGCTTTAGAAAAATTTAGATCCTATTTGCTTGGCACTAAAATTACTGTTTTTTCTGATCATGCAACTATAAGGTATTTGATGAGCAAAAAGGAGGCAAAACTGAGGCTTATCCGATGGATCCTGCTTTTACAAGAGTTTAACTTGGAAATTAAAGACAAAAAAGGATGTGAATATCTGGTAGCAGATCACTTGAGTCGAATTCCCCTTTCTACTTCCGAACCACCACTTAGAGAAGAATTTCTTGAAGAAAAACTGATGGTGGCGCAAAGCATAACCCCATGTCTTGCGAACATGGTTAATTATTTAGCCACGGGTGAGTTACCATTAGATTTGCCGAGAGCTGAAATCAATCGAATTAAGCGGGAATCCTGATACTATATCTGGGACGATCCTTATTTATGGAAGCACTACTCAGATCAGGTAATTCGACGATGTATTTCCGAAAGCGAGGTAAATTCAATTTTACAATTTTGTCACTCTTACTCTTGCAGTGGTCATTTTGGGCCAAAA